ATATTCTAACATTTAATGTTTAATAAAAACAACGAATGAACATTGCTTTAATCTAGGAGGTAGAAACTTTAAAGAGGAGATTACTAAACAAAAAGGGTGTTGTTGGTTATTGACTTTGGTATGCTTATTGAATGCAAACAGCAAAATCCTTGCAGTAGTCATTGGTTCTATTTATCTGATGGTGAACGCTGTTGATTGAGTGCTGTATTCAACATATGAGACAGTAATGGATTTTCAACAGATTTATTCCATCCTCTACTTAGTCATGAATCCATCTTCACAGGATCAGTTACATTGAGTTATATACATATAATTGATTTGACCCGAAAACTTATATGTCACGTGACTGAACAGTGTATAATATCTTGTCATTACAGTACATGTCGTATATGTGTAGAGTGTTTTGTGTGTATTACTTCTTACTAGTTTGATTGCTGGAAGTTGAGCAATAATATTTCTCTCGAAGTCAGGCATAAAGTATAGATTTTTTTTACTCAGTGATGTTAAACGGTATCCTATTGATACCGTTGATATTCATAAACAAAGAACTATCACACCACCATCGAGTGATCCGACATTAATAATGTTTTGATATCGTATTTCAATTTGATTGTTTAACTAACATTACAGATCAGGCTAATAACAGAATACAAAGTATCTCAAGGGCGAAGAACATCAGGCACAACGACAATCGGTATATTTAGAAACAATAACCCATGGAATGTTTTTTATAATTTCCAAATCGGAGTCAAATTATTGTATGATACCACCTACGTCTTGGGTGATACATTACAAACGTACGTTGAGTTGTTTTGTGGAACGCTAACTGTACGTGCCTTAATCGTAAGGCTTCCAATAACGTCTATGGTGAAACCCATAACCACTACTCCTGTAAGCTTGATTTATGTTTTCATTTATTAATTCATCTAAACAATATGTTTGAGGGTTATTATTGCTTTGAATTTCGTACATTCTCCCAATCCTTCTATAAACACGTGGTGGTGTCTTTGTAGCACAACATTTTTCTGCTTCCACTCTCAGGGGTATTCAGTTCTGATTCGGCTGCAGATTTTGTTAATCAAATTCTCTGCTAATTGTAGTGTCTATCAGATCTAATCCAAACAAGTCAAGTGCTGGATTCTTTGTAAGGTATACTGTTACGTTCGTTGAACAGTACTTCTCCAAAAATATTCAACTTCCCTTAAGATGCACTGTGTGTTAGTTGTGTTTTTGGATGAACTGTGAGACCCAATATTTCTCCAAGTTTCTGAGCTGATGAGAGTGATATCAGATGCTGTATCGAGTCGAAGGCGAATACATTGTTTATTAATACCCAAAGTTACATACTTTCTTCGGCAGTTACTTCGTGCTTTGATCTGAGTTATCTATATTTTGTGAGTTATCGCACCAGATCTGTATTTTTTCGAAATAGGTTTTCGAAGAACGACGGTGGATTCTTTTTGTGCAGCTGGATTCTCTATGACATATACGATGACATTTAGTGCAACGATAGTTTTTATATTGGAAATACTCCTTATAGTGCCACTCACCGCATAACCAGCACTAGGATGGAGGTTGTTTGTTTGAGCTGTCATGTGTGCGTACAAAAAATATTTCCGACGATGGTGGCCGGCCAATGTGTTCAACCATAGATATGTCATGTTTTAAGTTCATCAACGTCTGACATTCACTAGTCACTTCTTATAGCGCCATATTTGGACACTGTTCAATTTTACTCAGAATTCCGGTTCTGACGTCGACATCTTCAAGCGACTGTAAGCTGTATACAAAAACAGGACACTTAAACTAGACTTCTGTCATTGCTAATAATTTGAAACGCTTACTATGCCAGCATATTGCACCCGGTCATCGTCTCCAGCTTTGTCTAACTTCAGACATTGGTAACGAATATTGAACAAAGATGACTGTTCACCGAAAATTTGCGACAAATTTACGACCGTTGCATCAAATGAAAAGTCTCTGAGGTTCTAAGGGAAAATGAAGTTGGTTTAGCGTTCATGTCCAGCCGTACCAAGTTTGCGTAGCAGTACTCTGTTCTTTGCGGCATCGTCAAATGTTTCTAGGTCGACCCTGAACACATCTTTGTATTTCTTGAATCACGATTCAAATATAACACCAGACAAACCATCAAAATGAAATTCATGGATAGAATTAATAATGTGCTCAACATGCGATTTGAACGAATCATCTGTAAGCCCTCTTTGGTATAGGTTCATTTGCTGGGTTAGAGCCTTTAGAATACGAATCTCGAAAAGTTCGTAACATTTTTCTTGACGCTCAAGCAATGTTTCAACTTGGTCAAAGATAAATGACATTGAAGATGATACGGTTCTGCGACGGACATGTTGCAAAGAATGAGAGAAGTGATAAGCCTAAGAACTTTCGACGAAGGCCTATTCAAACAACTTTTCTTGTCTAAACTTCCCCCAACAGGTGCAAGCGGTTCTGGTCTCGTTTCAGAACAAAGCCTTAGAAGAGCTGGCTGTATCTGCCGATTGTAATTTAGAGAATACGAAATCTTCTACCCACCGAGGTTTTTTCAGTTAAAGAGAAGCCTCAAACGTCTCAGGACGCCATGACAGAGTTATGTCATACACTCACGCGTTATCTTAATCTTCGTAACGACCGTTAGCGCTCACACACCCCACGAAGAAGCACTTCGCGTAAGCGATCTGTCTCTAGACCACGATAGACGGATAATCCCGACTGGTACTGGTATCATAACCAGTATGGAAAGTCTTTGAGGAATTGCAGAAAACCATGCAATTTTCCCAACTCAAAACCGACTGACTCGAAAAACAACTCGGGAAACTTCCCAGCCGGCACGCGTTAACGGCAACCCTAGCCGGCGAACATAGCCGTCTGTTATACGTCACATATGTGACAACGAGAGTTCGCTAGCTCGTCGACACTGGCGCAGAAGTTAGCGTTCTCCCAGCGAATCCCAACGACCGGCTTCACGAATCGGCCCTAAACTTACAGACGGCAAACGGAAAACCTATCGCTAGGTATGGCAAAAGGTACGTTTACCTTAACATGGGTTCACGCAAACCCATTGACTGGATCTTCGTTGTTGCATATGTTTCTATGCCAATCATTGATATACACCTCCTACAACACCATAATCTACTCATCGATGCGCGCAAACGGAGGCTAGTAGACGGAAACACTAATTTATCTGTTTGCGTGACCACTTTTTCCGGTTGCAGATTATCTTCTGCCATACTTAGGCACACCATAAATCCATCCTATCAACCACTACTCGATAAGTATTCTGGGATATACCAACCGCAACCCAAATTACAGTGAGTAACTAGCAATTTTACACATCACATCACGATTACAGGACCACCTGTATTCTCGAAAGCACGCCGACCGGCTCCTGGAAAGCTAAGGTTTGCGAAAAACGAATTCGACCACGTGATAGACTTAGGTATCATAAGACCGTCACACAGCCCATGGGCATCTCCGTTGCACATGGTCCCCAAAAAGGGACAGACTCACAGTTGCGATTAGGTGTACCAGATCACGTCGGTCTTACCAATGAATATGGCACAGGTATTCAGTGTTTGACAACGATTTTACCAGCAGCACCTTCTAATATAATTCGTACTCACCAAGGAAAATCAAAAGACAGAGTCGAGGAGATCGGAAGAATGTATTTGGCGATTGCCAATATATTGGAATTCTCTTACCTAATCTGGCTAGCGATTGCGGTAGATGTTGAGCACAGCGTTACCACATGTGATCTGGTGCGGATGCATGACCGAGCGCCTCCAGCTAGAGGAGTCCAATAAAACTAATCTGGTCAGCATCCAATGTTGAAAACTTACAGACCTATTTATTTTGGGGATTTATTTACCGCTACAACATTTTGATAATTCAACCCCGTCACCTGCTGTTATATCCAGTTTAGATTCTTAATATAGCAGTCGAACGCTAGAACCTTCCGAGTCGCAAATAAGAAGAAAGTAGAAGAACACTTGAGAAAGTGCTTGATGGGCGAGAATCAAAATGTACAGAAAATCATGGGTATTTAGCGCTTGTTATATCAATATGATAATTCAACCAGTCCGCGAATAAACATGTTATGCCGCTGATCAATAGTAGCATGCCACATTGATATTCTAGAAATCCCCATTACTTTCTGATTAGATGGAACTCTTCGGCTTCTCTAGGGCCTCTGGAGGCTCAGTTGTAGTTTTTGGAAGCTGTCCCAACAATATGAAAGTGATCTGCATTGGCTGCACATGCACCAAATATGACTAGTCAGAATCCAATCAGAAAATCTACAACGGAATAATCCAAACTCCTACAAATTAAGTCGAAACACTTTTGTTCTGTAGATATACTGACTTTGGTCTCGAATCCCAGATCACATCAATCACCATTTTCAGATACACCTTGATTTTTTGTATCATAGTCTAATTTCGAGTCACCATCCATTTGTCACCGAATTGACTGAGGGTGAACTAATATGCTCCACTAAAATAAATTTTGGACCCAATTAAAAGGGGTACAGATTAAGTCAAGATCTCTTGCTTAGCATTAAAAGGTACGGCCGTTTATTTTACGATATTTGAATTAATGATTGTTGTTTTATATCGAAACAATTAGTGGTTACAGACGTTAGCAATCGAAATACAAAAATATCAATGTTTTAGCATGGAGCAGTTTAAATTGCATAACTTTATGAATGCAGCATGAAACATAGTACTACCCCACGTTAGCCCCTCTGTAATTTTCAACCAAATCTGAATTTACTACTGACCCAAATACTTTTAGTTTAAATCAGACCTAAATTAATCAGTTATGCTGTTTGCCTAACATTTATTATTCCTTGCAAATAATCTCAGATGAATGCTTATAACGCAAATATAAACTACATGTAAATGTAAACTTAAGTTGTAATCAATCTCTCAATTTTGCATTAAATCAATTATTTTTTGTTATCATTTGCAAACACTATTTGAAATTAGGTCGATAAAACTCCTGTAGTTACTATTGAAAAAGTCGAACCACGAAATTCACAACCAACAGTAAACTTTAGTACAATTGTAGAAGTTCGAGTGAAATTCGTTAAAGACTTTGTCTACATGCCGATAACTTTGCAACTACAAGTAAATTCAAATGAAGCAAATATAATCAAACAGAGTATTCAAACAATTGGATATCTATTAAATACTGTGGCACCTGTGAGCTCTGTTTCTTCGGTAAAACCGTAAGCTTGACCATTAACCGTATTGTCATATATGTGTAAATATACATACGTAATTCATTATATATACATATATATACTCAGGTATAATGTTACAAAGAATCAAGTATACGGATATGGACCAGGTCCGCCACTTCAAATTTGAACCAAATTAACTACAAATACCTGTAATTTATTATTTTTAAACCAGAATTCCTTGTTGAAATACACAATATCTATTAAACTTTTAACATTTGAAGATTATTCTCGAAGACTATCTTGCATAATTCGTCAATAAATCTGAATGTATTATCTAGAACTCTATATCAATTTGTTTTATCAGTTTTCCAAATTACATTTCACATATCAGTAGATTTCTGTGCAAAGAAATGCATTATATTTTATTGAGTTATCATTTCAGAAATATCCACTGAGTGTTAGATTATGGTGAAGTTGAAATTTGATTGCTACATCTTTTCATATAGACAAGATTTAGATATTTGATAATATACTTTAAGTCTCAGTATATGGAAATTGTACATTATTATCCTTTTGTTAATCCATACTTTCGTTAAGAATTCAACACATGTAGGTGTTCTAGATTGCCACATACATTCAATTAGCAGTCACTGTACTAGGAACCTAAATGTAGGTAATCTATAACGAGCTAATATTCAATTTTCATTTATATGTATAAATGTTGTAGTACCCATGATGCTGACAGTTATCCTTTATGTACGTTGAAAAGACTGAACATAACTGAATCACTGTTGATCAAACCCGTTTGACGTATCAACATTATTATTTTTATCATTACGAAATGTGCCTTATCACAATCCTTAAGAATATGCGTAGCCGATTGTATACTAAGTGTTTCTCAAGAGTTAATTGAGTGAATACAAAATGAACTTGGCACGTACTATATGATTTTTATTAAAACACCATATTGCATTTGTTTCCTTGAATCTTCCCATTGATGTTTGGGATCGCAACTGGTCAGTCTCTTAATGTCATTTGTGCACACTGTGTGTATTGTCTCGCTATTGCAATAATTCATAAGCATAATAAGCAAAGATGGATAGTGGCTAGCAGTGGTATCAAGGACGCGCGTTGCGTTCTATTGAGGACTCAGTAGTTAAGTGGATAACACGATGGCGTTTGAAGCGAACGGCAATGGGTTCGAGTTCTAGAGTGAAAATCACATCAAAGATTCAGGTAAATCCAGCTGACGAGTCCCGAATTGGACGAAACGCACGTCTTGGATTCCACTTCTAGCCACTATTCATCCTTGCTCATAATCCTATTATTACTATCATTTCGATAAACCATGAATAAAATGAAAAGTGAACCTATCCAGCTTCAATAACCACTTATATATTTGTTGTTCACACTTTTGGCAGAACACTCATGAATGTGGTGAAATTATGCACTTTCGACTCAATTACTTGCTGTGATTATCGAAAACTGGAAATATTTCAGTGAAACAATAACTCATCCTTAATAACGATTAAATAATAATTTCATACTGCACTACAGTATTTCTGTAATTCCAACAAATATCAACAAATCTTTCTTCCTCTTCTTTTACTTTTCTTTTCCCGATTACCGTAGTAATTTGGCTACATTGCAAATAAATTCGGTGTACTTCAATGAATCATGTACAGATGCTCAGTGTGATATTGCAATGCGTTATTGGATAATTCCAATTATCACGAAGCCTTTAGTAATCACATCAACATTTACCTCTGGTGTATCCAGTTTTACGAAAACATTAACTATTACTCCACGAGATAACTACTCTACTGTGTTGGTATGACTTGAAACAATATTATTTTACACTGAATTTTGCTCTATACTTTATTTCAGAGTTTGTTAACCCTACCATAAACTACTGGCTGTTATTTAGGTTTAGACAAATATTGATAACTGGTTAGAACAAATATGATTTTTGCAACGTGACATACATACACAGGTTGAAGTGATGTTCGAACCGGTTGTTCACTTCGTTGTGTTGTAAAATTTGATAAATTTGAAGACGACTTCCATGTATGATGATTTAGTAACCAGTAAAAACAGAGTAATATTGAATATTGGATACCTAGCATTTATGATACACACTATGTTACTAAATTATTAGTGAAAATTCATTAATTTATAATATTCTTCATTAAATCACCTCGTAGATCAGTCCTATCAGGATTTACTTTCGATTTGAACACCAAACCTGACTCTCTGATTGACTTACATGACAGGTGAATGGATCCATCAGGAAATTCTAAAATTCATCTTGAATGAAATCACTGAAGAGCATTGCAATTTTTTATCGAGTTTATTAATTCGTGATTATAGGGATAAGTTGTAAGTGTTTAGTTCATAACACATTCACATTTTACAGCGTATTAAAGGAATTTGCATTTGTTAATTTTTTAAGTCATCAAGTCAGGTTCCAGGAGTTGATCTAACTTCTATTGATTCAAAAACAGTCAAAAATCAAGTTATACCGAACTATTTAACATCACTGAAGTTAACGCTATCTCTGAAACCAAATGTATGGCAGTCGATATATTTCCAACTTTATGCTCCAGGTGCCTACCAAGAATACATATTAGTCAAGCCAACAATGCTAAGCCAATCAACATCATTGCCATATGTCAGCTCAGTTTCGAACTCTTTGGAAAATATGGTTTATATCAGTATAGACAAAGCTTATTACGAAGGTTTGTTAACATTTACTGCACTGTTTTACTTATAGTGGTCAGTATTGATATGGTTACTAATACACTATCTCTCATTAGTGAACAAGTTTATAGACGAATCCTTTTCTCTGTATTTAATAAGGCCACCGAATAATGTAACGGCAGTCTTCAAGCTGATTTCTCGTCAGTTAATAGTGTTTTATTACTAATTCAGTAATGTATACTTTTTCTGTTGTTACTACATATGCACAATCCTATCTACGTGGTTGCACTTTCATATAAATCCCCCTGAATTTTGTTATGATTTCATCAAAACAATCGATGTAGATTGTTTCCTTGAGTGTGTTTATCTATTCAGGTCACCGTTTCATTTAAACCATATGCATTGAATCATTTCCCCATAAAATTTTAATTTTTGATTGATAATAAACAGATCAACTACATTTATCAAGACACTGAAATATTTAATCTGCAGAACGTGTTTCCTTCCGTTAAATAATCCAGTGAAAGTAAATCGATTTCATCTCAATTCAAGAATTCCAAGAAATTAGTGACGGTTCGCGAGTAAATCAAGATAAATTCCTATGTCTACTCTTTTCGTTGAAACACTTATATAGATATTTCTGTGAAAAAGATATCTCCATTGTTAATCATCTGACCATATTTATAATTGTAATTAGTGTCTGTGATCGAGTCTATCATTCCTTAAATTTATTGTTCCAGAGAGAACAAAATTCATCTAAGTCTCAAAAACCATCAATATCTGTGGAACGCAGAAAATAATTTTGTCAGAGTCTCTTCATCAAACTGTGAATTTATGAACACGATAGTTTTAAGCTTGCAGTTTACAGTGCTCTGCTAGTTTGAAATTTATCCAGAAAGAATTAATTGATATTCACACTGACATTCCTATATCGAGATTAGTTTGAATTATTCCAACTGAAAATTATTTATACTGACCTACTTTAGCTAATCTTAAAAGATTTATTATCTGGTTTAACATAGAAATAGTTTATTTGAATTAAAGATGATGAGTCATAAGACTGATATAATAGACTCAGTTTAGTCAGTACTTAAAGTGAACGTTCTTGAGAAACTTCATACCACTTCTGTTTTATTTGTAACAATAACTCTATTGATTAATCATGGTCAGCAACCTAATCACGTAGAAGACAACCTTATGAAAACAAACGCTAATCAGAATGGACAAATTAAACTAATATAACTCTGCTCTCCGAGTTGAAGTATCTTCATTCAGAAGAACTATGAAGCCTAGTGGTGAAGGCCGAGATTCTTCGAAAGTCATGAGACCGATACTCATTCTACCAACCACAGCAACAATTTTCATATGTACATGGAACTTTCGAACAATGTATGAGACCGAGAAGACTATTCAAATAGCTGTGGAAATGAAGAAATACAACTTGACGGTGGTCTAAATCAATGAAACCCACTGGATCCAATCCGCACAGAAGATATATACGAGTGGATGCTGCTTTACTCCAATAACGAAAAGGGAAATTCTCTTCACACTCAGGGAGTTGCATTGATGCTGTTCAGTGAGGCATGAAATGAACTTATAGGATGGAAATATCATGGATCCAGATTCATCAAAGCATCCTTCAAAACAAGAAGGAGGAAATCACAATGAATATTATCCAGTGTTATACACCCACCAATGATAGCATTGAGGAAGATAAAGAACAGTTTTAAGAATAGCAAGACAATCACCGAGATTTAAGAATGGAGGAACAGATGTGTAGAACACTTTGAGAAACGTTTGAGTAAGCCAGCTCCACTTAATCCACCGGATATTGAAACAACACACACAAACCTTCCTATAGACATAAAAGTTACTGCAAACATGTGCCACATTCTACTCAGGAAGATTTTGGAGGAGGGATAGGTGCCACTGGCATACTGGAAAGAAGAACGACTCATCAAGATAACAAAGAAAGGAGATCTGAGCCAATGTGAGAACTACATAGAAATCACACTGTGGTGCGTGCTACTTATATTGATGTAAGTAGTATATGACGCGAGGTAAAACGGTAATGTTTGGCAGCAGAAAATGGGAGGAAGATCAAGAAATGAAGAGCGAGAACACAATACAACCTGTAAGAAAACGTATGAACAATGAAATGTGAGACAATGGATTGATGATTGCAACAGGAACAGTCCGGTTTGTTATGATGGATTGATATTTTGCAAATTAACGATATAGTATATGGCTTTTCTATTTTGGCAAATAACTCTGTAAATGTGCTCCAGCAGTGATCTGTTCATTACAACACTACTGTCAGTATTCAACAGAGTGATGTTGGACCGAATGAAGGATTCGGTAGACGTTCGACTTCGAGATCCACGTACTGGATATCTCAAGAATAGGACGTACAGAAACCAGATCGCGACACTACGGATCATCATTGAGCAATTAATAAAGTGGGACTCGTCACTGTATACCTACTTCCTTGACTATGAGAAAGTATTCGACATTGTGAATAGGAGGATTTTATGTAAACTTTTCTGACACTATGGTATACTTGACAAGATCGTCTATATCATACGGAATTCATCCGATGGGCTACTGTGCAAAGTGGTGCATGTATGACAACTGACAGATGCATCACAATTGAGGAACAGAGTAAGACAAGGCTGTTTACTCTCTCACGTACCTAAGAAGCATCACCGATGAACAAGGAGGGTTGGATGCAGATGTAAAGGTGAGGATTGGCAAAGTAAGGATAACATTCCTACAATTGAAGAACATGTAGAACTCAAAACAACTCTCAGCCAATACCAAACACACAATCTTCAATGCGAAAGTCAAAAAAGTTTGTTCTGTTGTACGGAGCTGAAACTTGGAAAACTAGTACAAGTAATTATAAACAATTGTCTACGTAAGATACTGGTGGGTGGCCTATGCTCCAACACTAGGAGTAACAGGAGTTAGTAAGCAAGTAATTAAGTACTAATTTGAGATCGTTCAGCTAATTTGGTAAATGATGTCCATCTTCTTAATATTCAAACCAATTTTATTTTTATACATAGCGCTTGCACACACTTTTTTATTTCCTCATGTTATTTTACTTATTATTATGATCTGTTCTGACAATTATGATACTTTACTTCCATATATGTTTTAATAAATTCTGCATATCTTTACTGTATACCCACTTTAAAATCTAAATGTGAAATCCAACTTCAGGTAATAATTGTTTTTAGATTGATAATTTTGCATGCATATGTGCTGATGCATAGTTGAAAGTAGATTAGTTGACGAGGAATTCATTCGTTTATCGAACGTTCTTGCAACCTAGTACAGCATTCTAATATACCTATACATTACTAATTGATCATCTAAAATATCAATATTTGATTTTACAATCAAACAATTTGAATCCTTTCAAACAAATATTCCTTCAGCTGATTAAAAAATCTTCAAGAAAGTTATGTTTGTAGTAGGTCGAGTGTATTAATATCCATTTCGTATGAAATTGTCGTTTGTCGATCCCATAAGAACAACGTTTTCTTGCGTAGATGCACGTAGATATAATAAATTGGTAGTTGTAGAAATTCAAGCATTCAAATTCGCTTCATTAGGAAATTAGACTGTCAATTTATATTTTACGCTTATAGGAATTGCAACCGATCAAACGACTTCGGCAGCAAATCAGTTGACTTACTATATCCCAATGTTCACTGCAAATTCTGTCAGACCACTGGTCAATTTCACTTACAATCTGACAGTTAATTCAATCTCTATATTTGGTAATTTCATATTTACTACCACCACTCCAGCAGTAAGTCAGAGTACTAATTTTCATTCAACTTGCTTCAAATTACATTTAGATAATTTTGTTACTTGACTTATTTACATTATTTAATGGAATCCGTATACAATACTAATGGTTAAAGTGTTATTTTCAAGCAAGACCCTGATGTTTAGATTATGTAGACTCGATAAAACTTTTATCCATATTATTGATGCATATTGTAGTTTTATTGAGGTATTGTAAGACAAGACAGGTCTGAGGATACCACTTATCTGTGGTTGTAAGTAGATGCTGATAGTTCGTCAAACACAATCAGTACTGAATTCTGGCGTAAAATCGTTATTCACACTAGAGGATCTTCTCAAATGACCGATAATTCGACTGTTAAGTTTTTCTGCTGTTCGTTCGGTTCAATTTATAACTAGCAGAAAATAATATGAATTGTATTTGGTTGTTCATCTCGGCTAAATGCAAGTTATTAAGTCTAATTAGTTCAAGGTAATATAACATATATGAGACTAAAACATAAACCATCCGTCAGAGGACAATCATTATTTTCCATGACAACACTGTGACAAGTTTAACAGGTTTATCAGTAATTTGAGCAGAATACGCCGATATTAGGCTAAATCATTTTTTACATTCTCAGTTGTCGCTTCCATATTAAATTGAGCCCTACTATAACATTTCAGTAGAATATTTCTATAATTTTATCTCCCAATGAAATATGAAATTATCATCATCGTCATATCATGCGTATAATGCCGTAATTTTGTTCTCCTTAGTTTCACAAGGAAGACTTGAGCAATAACTGATCTCGAATGTTAACTCATTAATACACAGGATCTAGACGGTTCGTCTCATTGGTGAACTAAAAATGGATGTATTAAGTCATAGACTTAACAACTCTGTGAATTGTGCCTAGAATACATTTATAGATCATTAATTGTGTTTAACATGTATTGACCCTCACACGAACAATAATCCACTCCAGTCGTATGTCGTTCTACCACCAAGGTTTCTTTTGAAGAACTATCTAAGAGTGGGTTTTTTTTGTGTGAAGAGTTTAAGAAATTTCACAAGTTGAAATCATGAGTCAGTTGAAGCTAGACCACCATTGAAAACCTGGAAGCACTGAAAGGCCGTTTCGTCCTGGTATGGGACTCCTCAGCAGTGCGCATCCACGATCCCGCACCACGCGGGGCTCGAACCCAGGACCTACTGGCTTCGCGCGCGAACACTTAACCACTAGACCACTGAGCCGGCATCCAACGGCCGTCCAGTGCTTCCAGGTTTTCAATGGTGGTCTAGCTTCAAGTGACTCATGATTTCAACTTGTGGAACTATCTAAGAATTTTACTTCTGTTTTAGTGATGAAAATTCAATCACTGTCACAGTGTTAAGACATTGGCTTAAGAAATGGTTCACGAATGTCATCTAGTATTCTAAAAGCATCATCATCTTCCGTAAATACTCGGACTTGCTATTCAATCAAACAACAGAACTTTTGTATATTTAAGTTTGTACTAAACGCTTGTTTTTTCCCATTTCCAGTAAGCCATTATAATAATCGTCTACAGTTTCTCCATTCAATGATCATGAATTAATAAAGCTTTATTCATGTTCGGGATGGGTGAGTACTCTGGACAGCTAAATGGTGTTTCCATTATTAGTCACTTATGAAACTGCGAAATGGCGTTTTAACATTAGATGTCTCAAACCTAACTGAAACCTCAATTGAAAATATGTGGAATATACAACAATCATGGGAAAAACGAAAAAAAGAGAATATTGTATCATAAAAGTTATTATTTCATAAAATCAGTCCATTACTTTTGTGAAACAGAGACAAATAGGCTATGTTGCTTTGATATACTTGTTCGTCGAAGAGAAAATTGCTGAAACGTTTCGTTTGAAAGGTTTGATTGTCGGTTCTTATAGTTACTTCCCAAGGTTACTCAAAGATTAAACGAATCGTTCATAAGAAACGCTGATGCGACACAGTTTCGAGTTCTCCTGAAAGTCACGGCTTGAAAACCATAAATGTATTATCTATAATTTTCTATAAAGTGAGTTTAATGGACTTCATCTGATAATAGATAAAACTGAATTCTGCCTAGTAATCTGATCTTCTATAATGAGATAATTAATTCAGTGTATCAGAATATTAGTAAGTATCACTTTAGGAAACAGAAGTTTACTCATGTCATGTAACTTCAAGGATTTTTAACGAAGTGAAATAAACGTATCTTTCAATCTTCTTACCAGTTAGTAATTTTCAACAACAGTTTAGTGTCAAATGGAAGTGTCCTATTATATATAGCAAGTTCCTAACATGAATTACTACAATACTAATGAGTCCACGAAAGGAAACGACATCAAAGCTAACTGGTTTACAATTGTGATCTAACATCGATCGGTTAATGATGTCAATTAATTGTAAGTAATTGACACTCATGTTTATGTTGATCTAAAATATCAGTTGAATATACATCTACGGACACATTAATCTTATGTTTTTGTTGAAATTAAACATGTTGTGCATGGAATATCTCTTTTTCAGATATTAAGATGAGAAACATATTATTGAATAAGTACAGTACATAATTCTATGAGTAAGGAAAATCTATATTAATTATTTGTGACTTTGCCAAGCAATTTTTAAATTCGGGATTATAAAACATTTTCTTGTCAATTGTAAAACTGTTTTCATACAACGTGCTAATGTCAGTCTTGATATTTTTTAAACATAGGCATTTACTACAACTCTTACAAATTCTTGGAGTTTAGTTTCTCCAAGTTCCGCTGATGCATATAAACAAATGTGTGCTGGAGGACCGTTTGAATTTACATTGAGTATGTGTCCGGTTGAAAGACGTTGTTCATTCTTTACATATTGGATCAACAGAATTGTGAATGGTATTGCAGCTCTTAATGTTACAAAAGTAGCTGTATATTACAGTGGTTTAGATGTGTGGTTATCAACCTCGTTCTCCTTAAATTTGACATCTGATCGTAGGTTAGTTTAAACTGATTAAATCCTACGTTATTGTTCATTAATTGCTTTATATGCTACTGTAACTAGACTAGCGTTCCATAAATGTACACACTTTCAGTGATCGAAAGTGAATTGTGTGAAATTAGGAACAAAACTCAAGAGATCTATATAAGAATTATACTGGTAAATCGAGAAATGGATTTAGTTGAATAGCTGGAGCTGAATATTTACGTTTGACATGATTTACATCGTAATTAAATGTGCTAAATATTTATCACTTTAATTTCACAAGGCAATAAGTAGTAAAACAATCTATTAATACTTATGAGTCAGTAATCTTGTGTTCGATTTGGCCCATTTTTTACATCAGAGCAATTCATTTTTTCACATTTCAATTTATGTCAGTAATTGAAGACCACTAAACCAGTTCATTCATACAGAGGAAGAGGAAGCAGTAAAATTCAATGATGAATTCATGAAATTATCCATTTAATTTAGTTCTTGCTTCATTTAAATTTGTTAAGGGAACTGATCAGATAGAAATGTAAAACAATGTACAGTCATAATGAAAAAGAGAGAGTTAAAAAAAGAGTTAATTCTAACTAATTGGAATTTTCTAAACATCAAAACGATTATTTTTACTATACTTAAACATGAGCACATAGATAAATATTAAAAGTTATCCAATTTCAAACATTAACAGAATGTTGCTATGAAATAACTGAGAAACTGATAAACCAGTTGATGTGATAATATAGTGATAGAAATTTACTCGTCTATGACCACATATGCACGTCTTTAAAATGACGTGTATCACATGATTTAGATGTTAGTATATGGTTGTAGAGATTTCTGAATTTCATTAAAATCATGAACTGATCAATGTTAGACCATCATTGAAAACGTGAAAGCAGTACACATAAAGCGAACTGGTGAGGAGTCTCATACTGCGGAGAAATGGCAATCCAGATTTCGAATGGTGTTCTTACGTTGTTCAGTTCATGATTTAAGTGAAACAAGATTTTAATGCATTTAACGTAAACATATGTCTAGAAAGTTGAAACGCCAAATTATTTCATAGTGATTCTATCTCTATATGATGTCTATATTAATTATTACAGTTTAAATAAGAGAGAACATTTGGTTCACACTTTTTCTGTAATCGACTATATCGTTACTCTGTTGACGTCATACTAAAAAAATACATTTCTGTTCATCATTAGTATGACTTTTGTGCTTACCGATTCAATTGGTAACGTACCCCATTACTCCTCTAACATGTACAAACAAACCATAAAATTGATTATTTTTAATTATTTTCTTCAGTTATGTGAGAGTGGATTACGGCCCATCATGCCTCAATAATCAAAATTCTTATTGTGTAAGTCTACAAAATAGTAAGTGTTGTGTTGTACACTGTGTTCAGATAAAACTGTGTCGGGATTGTGTTCTTAAATAAAAATTGAAAATAAACATTCTTGATCCGTTATACTATCATGGTAAAATACATTAAAACCAATTTTTGAGTTGTTAATGGTAATCTAATGGAATGCAATAAGTAGTTTCGACCAAAAACTTAAAAACTTAATGAAACGTAGTTACACGAATTTTCGTCACAAACAACAGAAAAAAAAAGTAACTAATTTAAATGTAGTTAGTAACAGATATACAAGTCAAAGTTTGCATTTCGAATCCAATCAAAATTAACACGAACTAGATTTCACTTTCAATGTGAATGTCTAAACATCCTCAGTAGCTTTGATAGTGAGGATTTCTCACTGCCCTCAAATCTACACGTCTGTCCCAGGGTTAATCAGAATCGACGTTCAGTCGAACACCAGAAGGTAAAGTGTTAATAAGCGTTGACAACTCCATTATCGTCAGTATTATTTTCACTACTGATGATTTGTTAGGCCGTTCGAAGTCCATGGTAGGAATGCGACTGCCAATCTGAAGACGAATTTACTAAACATCAAAATGAGCTCAGTTAATTTACAGGTATTTGATGGTGATTACATTCTAAGATGATATGGTAAACATCAGTCGTTCTTTGAATCCTAGTGTATTCGTTATTTTGCTGACAACTATAACTGTTATATATAATGATCGAGTCATTCGTCTTTATCTTGGTGAGATACACGTTATTGGAATATCTCAAGGTATTCTGCCGAAATTCGCAACGTAATTATTGGCATTTTCTAGAATTAGACAAAATATAAATAAAGTATCTTTGTGTCAAGTAATAAGGCTACCTACAAATAAAAACATATTTGACTTTTATGATAACGAAAACACTGAGTGGTAGTGACAAAATATTAGTTTAGGTCACTTTTAGATTTCAAATTCAAATTGTTGGCATGACGTATGTATTTATGATCGATTATTTCACGTTTTAATATTCACATTAAATTCCTGCCAATTTTCTGGAAGACGGATTTATTTATTCACCAACTAAAATTCATGAAATTGTAACTGACCTAATGATCATCAATGGAAGAGACATAATTTATGTTAATCCTGACATTTGGCCTATTGATACGACGCTTAAGCAGTAAGATAATTCTTCGAATACAACGTTGATATGTTGATGATATAAGAAATCAATACAACACCATAATCAACCATTTTTCTGTTTTTCATTATTTTTTTACACCATAAAAATGTGATTCTTTTGTATTGTATAGACACTATTTAAACATACTCTTTATTTAATGGGAGATTGCAATGTGACGACGACAATAAACTACGCTTTCCCAACATTTGTTAATGTCAGTGGAAGTACAAAAAATTTTACCGGCCAGGCTTTGGTATTGAGTCCAATACCAAGTTTCCCAATATACACCGACGTAAGCTATTTGTTTTACACAGTTCCGATTTAGTTATGTATTACGTACAATTATTACATAATGCGAAGACAAATCTACAGATAATCCAATAAAATAGAATCTTAGTTTTGCAAGTCCATTGATGATAACTATAAAATAGGGAGCATTGGTTTGGAGAAGGGTTCTGTTTTCGGCGAATTCATTTTTAAGGCTGTACAACCGCAAACATTTACTTATTTTTCAAAGTGATCATCACTACAATAATAGTGATAATATAATTTTGCCGAACGTGGTAACAGTGCGGTGAAATAAACATGTTTTTTACTGAAGAAAAATGATAATAATCCGTTTGGTGAAACCTTGAATATTCATCATGAAGATAAATAAAGAAATTATAATTGGATAGGGAAAGCTCAGCATGATAAGATAAAATGCTGAAATTGAGATGAATTGTATTTAATAGGATCATGGAAACAGAAAAAATCAAGGGTTTGCAGTGAAGATAGAAGTGAAGTAGATTAACATGAAAGAAGGAACGAATAAAAGGTCACGAGAGATTAAGGTCATGGTACACACACATACACAGCAGATGTTTCTGCAACGGAAATATAACTGTCTCTGACAGCTTTCCACTTACCTTGCAAATAACTTTGAAAGCAGAGTCAATTTGCAGTGAATGACCTGTGTTGACATGGTGTTCAATTGTTGACCTTATTATTGAGCCATTCTAGCCTCTTTCCAGACAGTGTTCTTGAATTCTTTTGAATGAAATATGCATCGGACGACCCAAATACTTGGCTCCACTGAAAATTGATCGGTTAGAGAACACTAGTCACAAAGTTATTGCTATGAATATTCTACTGAGAGAGTAGGGAATTACCTTCTTCAGGATGTCTGTAGCTATATCACCTTTGAAATCGATCTTCATATAAAGAGTTTTCTTTGGTAAGGAGGCTAGTTGTGCTTTAGGAGGTTTGGGTTTTATATTCGTATCAATAAATACCGATGGAGATCCGTTTTCTACAGTTATCCTCTTTAGGTGGTTCATTTCGTTATCTATGAACTCGAGACAACAAATTCTGAATTTCTATGTAGCAAAGTATGTGATTTAATATTGCTTTCGATTGATGTGGATCCAGGTGTGAAGGCTTTATAGCTGGTCACTCCATGAAAGTTTCTAGTAGATAGAACTTCTTACAGATTCATCATGATTTACTGTCACTGTGACATGAAGAAAGCCAATACTTTGTTTATTTTCAACTCCTAGTGTGAAATTTATTGCTGTGTGGTAGTAATCAAATGTTTGCAGAAGGTGATTAATCAAAGAGTATTTGTTGATTCGAATCATAGAGACATCATTCACACATCTTTTATATTAGTGGGAGTTGTCAATACTTACTTTAAGTTAATTGTTTCCCAGATTGGACACTATCTGCTAGTAATCGGTCAAGAGGGGATCCCATTCCTGAGCTATATTTTAGTCTATAAATTACGTCGCTGAATGTAAAGTGTACATCACAAGTGCATCGTAATATTAATTCCTTTTAGTAAAATTTTTATAGTGCGATATTAATCCCATGATCATTCATAAAGCAAATAGTCTTTGTGAGTAGGAAATTGATGAATGCTAATTGAACAACAAATAAAATGATAAGGTGGTCATTTATATTCACTTATTGTATGTAATCAATAAATTCGGGAGTGTCATGTAAGGATTGCATACAAATATGTTTTCCTATGAGTTGCAGGCAATCTCTCAATCATTTTGCTATAGAGTAGTAATATGATCTGAACCTTTGAAGAACTATTCGCAGGGATAGTGCAGGTTGTAGAGTTTAAGCAAAGCACATATTTTTGATGATATTCTTCGCCACACGGATACAAAGAATATTTAGTCCTGAAGTTATAGATAATCAAATAAATCTCTTAAAGGAAATATGTATCGAAAAACGGTATCCATCGGTACACATTTGATAAAAGCATAAAACTTGAACATCCTGATCGTAACTGACAGATATTCAAATCAGCTTCAAAATAAATGGTTGAAAATTCTCATAATGTAAATTAAAAAAACAAAAATAAAACCGCACAATGTTGTTTACGATTAGATTTTCATCAGAATTAACTTTCATATAAATCGAACTGCATATTAGAGCTAAGTCTGATAACGAACCAATTGAAAACAATATTGTTCAGTTTTCTGTTTGTTGTTCATATTCGAAATGAACAGAAACAATGTGTCTATTTCAATATTGATTTAGGTTATTCCAATTAATCGAAGCGGCAAGTCACTTGTATTTCAGTGTGTGTTAAACTAATTTCTCGAAGAATACTCGACTCAAAAAATCAATTTCACCAAACTATGTGATATAATGAAGTTTCCAGTGATATTTTACGATCATGTAAGATGGGATTTATACTACATAACAAACAGACGTGAATGGTAGTTCCATATTAACAGAAATTGATTAAACTATTTGAGGACAACACAGACCATGAAATATAGAACAATCACTGTATATCATGTTAAACAGTAAAATAGGAATGAAGCCCATAATAACTGGCAAAATACTATCAACTGAGTAGAGAAAGCATATATTACTTCTCGATCACCCAATATATAAGCAAAGTAATCAAAGTATACATTTCAACATAAAACTGATGAATTACTATAACATTTCTCCATAAACTAACACTGAGAATGATCAAAAATCCTTCTAAACTACATTAATTGGTTGAAGGTTAAGACCATGAATTCTAACGATGAATTTTAACAGTCAGAAAATAGACTCGCCTTGTAATTTCCACTTATTCGTCTTAAATGCATTGATATTATTTGAAATTAAATGTCTATGCAGAAACCTTGGTTGAGATATTGAACAAACCAGAAAAATCACATAGTACTTCAAGTTTGTGTCTGATATCAGATGCAACGGTCGGAAATCGATGATCGGTGGATTATGAACTAAAAACGTTCATTTCAAGCTTGTCTCCATCTGGGGATAGATATCCATTTCTGAATACGTACACGAATTATATTTGTTTAGGCTCCATATATTCTTGAGATCATCATTTGTCTAATTATAGTAGTTTCGTAGTTGCACTACTATATTTCAACCGAGGTGTAGTTAAACACGGTGTTTCATTAAAACTTCTGTACAGAACATTAGACAAAGACTCACCATTTTGAAATTGTCTTTTTACTTCAAGTAACATTTCTACCTTAAATAGAAGACAACCAGTTTTGTTAGATTAAAGCTTAGAATATTTCATTTCAGATTATGATTGAAATAAGTCCATCTAGTGTAACGCTGCAGCCAGGTCAAATAACAACTATCAATGTGAAATATATATTCCCATTGAACTCCATGTATCTGAAATCTACAATACAAATCAATGGAACTGGAAGCAACAACAGTAATGAATCTATAATAACTATTTCAGATTTTAAAATAAGTTTGGGTTCTAACTTATTCTACACAACAACTGCTTACTCATCTAATTATTTGTCCACTTATCCAACCAATCAAAATGATCAGTTGTTAATATACTTCGAAAATATCACAAACATTGGTGAGTTTTATGAAAAACTACGGTTCGTCAGTTCATATGTGCTTATTTCTTGGGTAACTGTCATTACTTACACTAAAAAATTCAATATCATAGATATGTTTCTTAATTCATGAAATATCATAAATATTACACTTGTCAATTTGAGCGAAATATGTTTATTCTTAACGGATAGTGTTATGCAACTTCTTCAGCAGTTAAAATATTTTACTAGAATATTACTTTAGATGACAAATGAGAATAGGTGTATGATATTTTCCTTACCACTTTAAGACCGAATTATCTTTACAACGAAAGTCGAATGGAATATTACTAGAATAGTGAACGAACTCCATCGTTCTTTCATTGCTATTACAATCTCTCTCTCTCTACATTCCCATTCTCTTCAATTCGATCTCCTCAACCTTCTGCTATTAGTCATACCACTTCTGATTGGTGTTACACACTACTTATGTCAACAGACATAAGTGATATACACCACACCAGTGTACAAGATCAAAGTTGGGCAAGAAAATATCTCTAAAACTATTACTGAAACATATGATTAAAAACAGTGAAATAAGTTGAAGTATTTTGGAATAGAATTTGACAGAAAAACACTAACACTAGCTTACTGTTTTCTTTGAAATTTTGATCTTCATTTCATCCTGTAATTTTCAATAGCCCACCTCACAGTTAAAAAAATCTGGCTTTATACATGTTTTAACTAATAAACACCAGATAAGCAGTAAACTGAATACTGTCCTTTAATTTCTCTCCAATCAGAAGAATGTTGTTAAACATTCATGGATATGGCCCAAATCTAGAGGAATGTTTATGTAAAAAAAGACATCGCAGCTGAACACCTCACCCTTACATTACAGTAACTAAGACAGCGAGATAAATTCTTTCTGTGTATAAACAATGAAAATGTTCTACAATGAAGGTTAATGACAAACAGTATCCAAGATATTTCATAAAGATGCAAGCAAAATCATTGCCATTATGTGAAGTGGAATAAAATAAATTGATTTGTTTTTTGTCACCGCTTTCCAATGTATTGTAACTTACTACTTGATTGATTATTTGACAGTATCGTTTTGAATTTTATTGTTCTCGGTTAGCTCCTAACCAGTTTAGTCCTGATATTTAAAACACTAGCTGTTAATTCAGAGTGAATAAAATGTTCAGCGTCTTCTTCAATGTACTATCTAATAAAAATTATCACCTATTTTAGGTACGGTAAGAGTACCCTTAATGCGAAACACTCTCAGTCTTTCAGTGGATATCCGGTTGAGTGATAGTAAAATTGTAGAAAACGGAACTGGTTGGCCGTTGCAAATCACTGGTCGATTCAATGCTGTCACTAATATTAGCAAAATATCTGTATATTGTATAAGAACAGGGTCAGAAAAACCATCAATTCAGGTTGTACTATCTCAACTGTCATCGTTCACATTCAGTGATTATCCTGATAGGTATGTTTAAGTCGTTCTGACCTTTAGTATATACTTATTTCATGAAATAATTGGTTCACGTCTAACACGAATTCATTTTTCACTTGAATATCAACTTTATATAAAACAGTCATTGTATTGATCAGATAGTGTCTAAATGCCCATAATAATGTTCTATATCAACGATTACGCTGATGACTATTCACATGAAGAGTACAAACTTTGGTCTTGAACAAAGAGTTTGAAGATCTGTCTGTTATCCAACAAGCAATACAAATATCATGCCCAAATTCAAGTGACCGAATGAATAAGTTTTATTTCTTTCTTAAATTGGTTTCAAACCTCGTTGTGTTAATATTCTCGGTGATAAATTTTCTTGGAAACCTTTCTCATAACACCTTAAAACCAGACACACAACTCGTTTAAGCATCCATCAGATAAAACGCTGTTTAAACATATAATTGGTGTCTTAAACAGATGTGGCTGTTGAGTTGTAGTACAGATTGTTCATCTGAGTTATAAATTTCAAATCTATAGGTCAATCACCATCATTGTGTATCCTGTTTATCCACAACAAGTCTCGGACACAAAATCAGAAATATAAACTTGTGCTGAACTCAAATAACCCATGTAGAAAAGAAACGATATAATCCCATTAGCTGACTCTTGACAAATCAGTTTCCAAAGAAGTGTCTATCTTTTCATTTATCAAACCAGGGTAGCGTAGGTAACTACTTAACTGAGCTGTAAATTATAGAATTTTATTTCAGATAAGTCTCTGTGTTTATTAAATGTGTTTTGAGGAATTACTGACAAATAATTATACAATGATTTTGGTTAATACTTTTATTTTTCTAAAAACCTTGTTGCCAGTCTCGTGAACATGAACATGAACATGACTAAGTATTTTTTTTCATCCTCAGACTATAAAGTAAATCATAACTATTAAGCTTAAATCAGTTTTGCTATTAAAAGCGTCCGAAAGCCGGTGAAAATCGTACTTGAATTTTCGTCCACTTATCTCAGCACAAAACATATTGACTTTTGTTAAATCAATCGATCTGTCAAAGACAATATTTAAGGATGGAAGGTGATATAGTTGTATCTCAAAACTCTCATGAAATCATGAGTGCTTTTAATTCATTACCATTTACCTCGAACCAACTAAACTCACGTTCAATGTAAAGTGAAAAAAATGGAGCAATGAAGAGAACAGAAATTTGACATTGTTGTCCGTGACACCTCCAACAGTTACTGGATTTGGTTTAATTTCAACAAACTGACCAAATGTTATCATGTTTTCTATGATACACAGTGAACAATCAGCTGGGAACATTTAACTGATGGAACTACTCACTCGTTTACATCAACAGCAAAAATAATTCGCTTCGAATTTAAGGAAAATAATTCATTTCGCTTGTTAGATCTGTCAAAGCGTCCAACTCACCTGACTGAGATACGCGCAAAACCGAAGTTTCCAAAATAACGATTTGACTATAATAGCGGTGCTTTATTGAATAATACACAATAGTTAGTTACAAACCTCAACTCCTGAGGTGACTGGGGCGTTTAAACGCGTCCTCCAAGTATGAAATAAAAAGGCTTCCTGCAACAGTAACATAAAGAATAATTACAACATACGATATTACAAAGGACAGCTAATAGCTGTGTCTAAATTTGATAACAGTATATGAACAATCGAAACCCGAACCAAGAGCAAAACAATATGGAAACTGTTGCGTTTAAACAAATGCACAAAGTGGTGGATAACCGCTACAGTGATTAAGGTACGGTGATTATAGTGATGAATACAATGCTAAGTACAATCAATATTATAAGTATATGTAAACATTTCAAAGCATTACACTACAACTTGCGTTGCAACATAAGTGTAAACATTGTTGGGAATACAACTGCTTACTGAGTGCAAATAAGTAGTGTAAAACAATATACAAAGGAGTGGAAAGGGAGCGAGTAGGAACAATGTAAAACAAACTTGACATTATTTTTACAAGATCTCTGACAATACTGGACATTATATGATTAGGTTAGCAATAAAAAATTGTATTATTGTGCAAAATTCTAATAATTTCACCCTTTTCGAGCTATACACGTCTACGCTATACTTAAAGTATTTAAATACTGAAATCTAAGTAGATGCAAAGTTATTAATATTCTTGCTATTTCTCTGCTGATTGTAATCAGTTAATCCTATCAAACTAGATTGGAAGGAGTGTAAAACCGAGTGTCGAATTCAACTACCATTTGAATTGAATCATCAACATTTGAACTGTTTTACTGATTGATGTGAAATAACTCTCTACATATTATACATTTTGTTTAATCCAATACTCAGAGATGTGGTGTATCTTCAGACAACCGTTCAAATGATGAATGGTACCGGATTGGAATGTGAAAGACAATCGATAATTTTCTATCTCAGTCCAGAAATAAAATCAATCAGTGTAGTTAATCAAACAGGCAACATAGATAATGTAACATTGAAAACTCCTTTAAACCCAGTATCTAAATCAGTTCAGTTCATAGTAAGTTTCCGTGTTTCAAGACAAATTTTGAAAATGATATTGTTCAATTTAACTCACTCAAAATTTAGTTGAAGCATTTAAAGGGATTGAATTAATTTTCTGATTGCAAATGAAATCATCATCAACCAGTCTAATACCGTTAACATAATCATATTATTTGAAGAAAAAAATAACTGGTAATATTCAGAAAAACACATTTTGGTTCTCTAGATTTAAGTGATCCATGAGATAATTGTACATAATAATCTAACAGTAACGAGTGATTTTCTTCGGTCATGTATTTGATATCAAGCTGTACAACAACTGCCCAGTTGAACTTGACAAATTGATAATATAGTAGGCACTTCAACAGTACACCAGACAGTTGGATCACAGTACTGCATCAAGGGTCTCAGATACTTAATATGAGACAAACGATTGAGAACCAAATACGAACCACACAATAATTTAATGATGTGAAATATTGGAATTGAAGTATGATTGATTGTTGAGTGTGGACAAACAAGCATAGCCTACCAACTATTAAATATGTGATTTCTTGAAACAATTCATTTTCATTGCACAAACATAAAGAGGATTCAGCGAACGGAATTTCCTTTCTCACGAAATCACTTACTTTAGTTATACGTTCATATTTATAGTTGTATCGTAATTATATGTCTGTAGGATAAAAAGGATTTGAGATGGTGGAGACGATTTGTAGCTCAGGTAGATCATTCTGGTGGAGTCTTATTCTCCGAGCCAAATGGTTTTCTCATCATGGGGTGATTCGAAACTCCAAATACCAAACGAGAGTGCGTAATAATCAGGGGGTTAGAGAAGAATAGAGGGACGAGAATAATTTACAGGTCAGAATTATGAAAGAGAATTGTCCTCTTTACAGATATGAAGAGAAATGGTAAACACAAAAGTGATAATAATAACTGAATAATAGTAATAATGAAAAATTGTTGGAGTATAATAATAACTTGGATGCACCTACATCCAGCTGCCTAGTCCCAAATAGGGTGAAACGCGCGTCTTGTCCCCCACTGTTAGCCACCATCATCACTGCTTATGACTGATTACGGTTCAAAACTGCAAAACAATAATTTAAAAAAGGGAAAGGAAGACCAAAATATACTACAGAAAGTAATTAGAGCGAATGGAGGATGAATGGGTGGTCGTGTCATTTTTGCACACAGAGTGTCAAGCTCGGATTAGTCGATTGCCAATGCCTCAACAGTGCATACGTTTTTGACTCGGCCTTCCTTCTATCCAGTTCCTTTGTTTATTAAGTGTTCCTGTATCGGACTGGTAACTGTTTTGCATCCTCGCTTTACAAGTCAGGTCAGGTATTGTTCTGAGATGCGTTTAGAAAGTGGTCGCTTTATGCGGCTAATGTAACCTGATCAACAGGAACAAGTAGATTTATAGATGCACATCAACATGGACAAAAGCGGAAGTTTAGCCTATTACATTTGTGAATGGTAGGCCAGCTTGAGAAGACAAAACGGAGATTATTCAAATAGGTTTTATCCAGGGATTTTGAATCACGTATATTAAAGATTTCGGCAGCCTTATCTCCTTTAAATTCGATATTCAGAATAAATTTTCTTTTTAACTGTCGGTGCTCTTTTTAGGATGTCTTGGTGTAAAGTTCTTATCTACTAATCTAGGTGGATAACCATTTCTGATGGGTGTCTGTCAAAGTTGAAGTAGTTCGTCAACCACTTCATTATTGTAACATTCCCCCAGACCTTGGGGATAAAGAATGAATCAAGTTTCTTTTTCTACTCAATAAGATCCAACTATGGAAATTCGTATACCGACCATTCCGAGTCAATTTTTATATATAGATCTCTGTAAAGAACCATATGAAGTTCTATTCAACCGGACATCAAGAAAATGAAATTCCTCATTCACCTCTGTTTCCAACATGAATTAAATTGAGTGACGACAACTACTGAACCAATCCAAAATTTCATTGAGATCCACTTTTTCTTCACAAATTTTGGAAGTATGTAGTAATCTGAAGTATTCGAATTTATGTGCAAAACTAAGAACTCCCGAAATAGAGCAATTTAACTCAAATCGAACAAGCTGAGACAAGGGAACGCGTTATATTTGGAATTGATAATCAGCGGGCAATCAAGTACAAAGCAATCATTAGTTTGTACAAATACCAAAAACCACCACAGCTTAAATGGGAATCGAAATTTCTGTAATCGATTACACTTCTCCTTAAGTTCATCATGTGTTTGTCCGATTGTGTACTGGATGTAGATTCTGCATGATCTAGGATGTGCTCATTAGTATCAGATTTTAAAACCGGAATCGGAACAGATTCACTTGGTTCTTGGAATTGTATTTGATCAACATATGGGTTATGTGAACGTAAATCATTGATATCTAGGATTTCAATCATAGATTTTTCAACATTCTTCACCACAATTTTCATGACTGGTCGAAGATCATTTCCACGATAACATGTAACACGTGGAGACTCTAAACGCCTCATATTCTTCCTTTTATTATCTTTGTTGGGATCTCTTTCGTTAAAGAATGCTTAACATTTTTATATTGCAGTAGAACTGTGTCTACTCCTCTCTCCAGTCCATCAAATGTGGAAGCAGTAATGAGATTAATAGCATTTTTCAATGTCCTGACGAAATGTTTTGCCTGACTATTAGAACAAGTGTGCCTGGGAGCAGTGAACAGATGTCTACACCCTATACCATTGAACCAGGTAGTGACTGTGTCTGCAGCAAAATGAGACCGATTATCAGTCACTAATACCATAAACTATCATCCATACATCTCTTAGATAAATGAAATCTCTCAACTATCGGTCGAAGTACCGTATCTTTTTCAGATTATCCATGAAACAATCAGTCAAGAGAGGGGGCTAGTAGTGAACCTATTGCAATTTCACCGGTTTATCCATAGAAATGATTACTAAACCTGAATCGCACATTGAGGGTACATCGTCGAGATAGCTGTTCTAGGTAATGTTTTAGGGTACTGATATCAATGTTGTTATTTCAATTTCGTCACATAAAAATCACATCGTTTCTGTGAGTGGAACATTTGTAAAGAGAGAAGTGACATACAATTTGACCATTTACAATGAGATTTCTGAATCGACAAAATCAAACGAATCATGAGCGTTGTATCTATTGATGTGATTTCTCACGGGTTGTAAAATGTCAGCAAACCATTTAGCAAACAAATGATACAGAGACTTATTCGTATCAAGAACAGAACATAGGGAGATGTTCTTCTTCTGAACTTTCGGGAGTTCATATATTTCCAGTATAGTGGAACATGATGGTCTAAGACGTTCATAGAGGTCACAATCGATAATAAAGTCATCTTCCATCTGCCTTATGATTTTAGGTAAACTTCTGTTGCGTCTTCTCAATCGCATCTTAGAGAATTTGACAGCATCAGATACTATCAAGGATAGTCTGATGAAATAGTGCTGAATATTCATAAGGACAATTCGTGCAACTTTATCTGGGTGACACTGCACTAAATCCTGATTTTTCAGAAAATGAAATAATTTAGACTTATGTTCTTTTGCGGGTGGTCGTCTAGTTATAGGTATCGTGATTACATATTGAGTTCATTAATGATGGTTGACGTACTACAAATTTGAGGACCAAGTAATAATGCATGTAACTAAATAGTCGACAATGTTATACACAACTGTATTTTATATTTCGGATCTTGAATCACCTTATGATACAATCTTTTCTATCCTTCTATACACATAAATTTGCCATATAACTATGAATACGAATGTGTGATTTCTACTCCTGATTCACTGGGTGTGACTGTTTATAACTGTATTGAATGAGGTATTATCTAGTGTTATTCCGGTTTCCTATTCTGCGTGGTGAATCCTGGTTCTGATGTAGCGTAGCTAGTTAGATTATTGTAGTTAACATGAGAGAGAAAAGAATATTTTAAATAATCCGTTGTATCAGAAAGTTGGATGATGACTAGCAGTGCCATCCAGGACGAGTCTCAAGTAGGTCGAAATACTCGTCTTGGGTTTCACTGCTAGCCACCATCCATCTCTGCTTATAATGCTTGTGAGGTAAGGCAGTATCAAAGCAATTCTCACAGGATGCACGCATGTCAATAAGAGACTGATCAATGGCAGTTCTAATCAACAATGGAAAGATTCAAACAAACAATGAAAATGTGATCAGTTAACACTCAGTGAAATAAGAGTAGACGTTTCTTGCAGAAATCATTTTATAACATAATATAATCACTGTTATTTATTATAATCAAACATTTCTATCTTAAATAACTAACCAATTACTACTCATTTCCATAAGGTATATTACAACGTTTTAGCGATCATTTTGTACTTGATCAACATAATGAATAAACTAAAGTTACCAGTTTTGTCTTCAATGTTCGACAAATGCTCAGTTTTCATGCACATTCAGGTGTGAGTGAGTACTCCATACAACATTAAAACTATCACTAGTTTTTATCTCAGACGTTTGGAGTTGTTTACAGCTATCTGCTATGAATATGCTAGTGTTGCGCATTGCGACATACGGGATGGAAAACACAAACTCGTTGAAATCTAATGGCTGAAATAAAATTTACGATCAAAATTATATTCCCTACATAGCACTCTAATCAGTAAATGAACTAAAAAGGTACTAGAAAATGCTGTATACGTCATAGTTATTGAACACTAAATGCATTAATGATAACTTCCATCCTATTCGGTCTGTTAACCGAATATGGCAAAGTTCAGTCAACTGAATCGTGATGTTTTTATTATCCATAAATGGTTTGTAATCTTTGTTCCGCAATATCACTGAAGTATTCTAAGGGCACTTCATCATTTGATTTCATTGATAACCGCATTGCTACATAAAAATAATATTTCTTCTACCAATTTCTGGGTCATAGTCAAGCATTTGCGATTTCAAACTTCGATTTTAAAAGTGAAATATCACTCTGGAATACCTTTCTAAAACAAAAGTTGTATTTGTGTAGGTATTACAGGAGACAGATAAAACACCTCACTTCCATGTCTTATATCTGTTTACCATTAATTGCTGTATATATATATATATAATTTCAACTCGAGGGAAATATATTTAACCACTGCAGTCATTTCAAATTTTAAGTTTCTACTGTGAAATATTTGCAGTATTTCTCGTCAAACATTCAAACTCATTTAAATCCATCGAAACATTGTTTCATTTGCCTAACTGAGAGCACGAGATCGATCTAATATCAGCATTCACTGTCATTTACTGTACCAATGAAACTTCCAAAGTTTGTACAATTCCGTTCATCAAGCATAGGGGAGGTAAATTACATTTGTTTTGTTTGCCTACGTTAGTCATCATTTGAAATCTTCTCATATCACAAAATGAAACATAAATTTCAAACATATATCAACTCTTGCTCTGAAACAACACTTAAGGATGTTATTTTTCTCTTTTCAGGCAGGACGTTTATATTTCGGTGCAAAGTATGAAGTCATCTTCAGTCTGAAATTTAATCCATCTCTAAGTACAACCATTGTGAAATATCCAGTTCTAGTCGAACTCGTGTGCAAACCCTATGAACGTGGTAGTCCTGTAGTGAATAGCTGCGCAAAACAGAAGTTTTACAAGTTCAAATCTCGTCTGCGTGTTCAACTTGACTACACTTGTGAGTTATATTGGTGTGAATTTTTCCAAATTCATGTTATGATTATGAATCAACACTACCTACCAAGGAATGACTGTATTATGGGAAATAAGTTTACCCTGTATGTCGGATACGTTATCTTAAGTGGAAAATGCTTTCTGCAGATGGATCGCTTTCTGCTTATCATCGTTCAAATTTCCGCTGTTGTGAAAAAGATTTCAATCTTTGCACTGCATCCGAGTTATCGTACTGTCATCAAGTATTTACACATACAAATAAAACTTTACAAGCCATCATGATTTACTGAATTTTTCTCATGCTACTGAAATCATAATCATTCTCAAAATGTGAGGTGCTTGTTAATTGCTTTCAGAGAAAAGATGAAATAGTCCTCATATAGAGTTGTCAATTATTTGGAGGCTTTCCACAATGATATTTCATTTGATCATACAAAACTGCTAGTAATGTACAATCGTAAACAAAAGATGAAAAGGAAAAACACTGATCCTCTTGTTGAGAAGTATCAGCTAAATATGTTTACACTGTAACTATATGCAGTTCTCTTATACTCCCCTATTAAAATGACCTCGAATTTTGTCAATCATAACCATGAGGAATGTTTGTCATTGGTTACTTATCTACAGTCAGATCGCATTACTGTGAAAGAATTCTCTATCATTTTATTGATTTTTGGGATAGTTAAAATAATTCTCAGTGACTCTGTGATGCATTATTTAACAACACTGTCTTGTATTGACCTTTTGCATTCAGATCCTTACAACTTACCTCATTACGTTGCAATACAAAACCCTTTGGTACAGTTGCCCGACCGTCAAGCAAATACATTTCTAAATGTTGGTGATCTTTTGTTTTATTGTGCACGTGCGTTTAGTATGAAGGGTTCATTAGATTTGGTGAGACGATGTTTCAAGATTGGTAAATTGCCTGAAAGAATTTGGTTTGGTAAGTAATCATAGGCAATCCGTTGTTTTTTATTATTCAACAGTGGATGTTTGAATTTTAAAACTACATACTTACGTCTCTTACACCTAGTGTCGGAGCATAGGCCACCCACCAGCATTCTCCATCCACCTCTGTCATTGACAACTCTTCCAAACACTATCTAATTCCTATTCATTCTCTTCATGTCTGCTTCGAATTCGCGACGTATTGTGTTATTCCGCCTTCCGCTTTTCCGCTTGCCTTCAGGATTCCAATTTGGCACTTGCATCGTGATGCAGTCTGATGATTTCCTCAGTGACTGTACTATCCACTTCCATCGTCTTTTCATAATTTCCTATTCAATTGTAAATTAGTTTGTTCACTCCCACAGTAAGTTGTTGCTGACGGTATCCAACCAACAGACATTGAGTATCTCTCGTAGACAACTGTTTATAAATACTTGTACGCTTTTTATGATGGTTGTAGTAGTCCTCCATGTTTCAGCTCTGTACAGTAGAACTAACTGTATTGATATTTGTATTGAAAATTATGTCTTTGATATTGGTTGACAGTTGTTTTGAGTTGTATATGTTCTTCAATTGTATGAATGTTATCCTTGCATTGCCAATCCTCACATTTACATCTGCATCTGATACTCTTTGTTCATCGAAGATACACCACAGGTACGTGAAAGTTCCCACCACTTTCAGGCCTTCTTTTCATCAAGTGTGGTTGGGTTGGTGTTCTCTTTGTTGTACTTGAGGATCATGGATTTTCTCTTGTGTATGTTGAAGTCTACTGATCCACAGGATGCAGAAACACTGGCTATCTTCATTTGCATTTGTTAATGTGTATGTGATAGAAGGGTTAGGTCATGTGTGAAGCACATCCATGTACCACTTTGCACTATAGTCTGTCGCATGACTTCCGTGTGATATTGGCGATTTTCTCAGTTACACTATAGTGTCGCATAAGTTTCCATGAAGTCCTTCTATCCACACTGTCATATGACTTCTCATAGTCAAGAAAGGTGATGTATGATTGGGAGTTCCACGCAAATGATCGTTCAACAATGATCCGTTGTGTAGCGATTTGGCTTGTGCACGACCGATCCTTACGAAATCCAGTCTGTTGATCTCGAAGTTGAGTGTCTACTGAGTCTCTCATCCGTTTCAGCAACACACTGGTGAAAACTTTCAGTCACCCGAAACTCAAAGTTATTTGGATGTTTATTAAAGTTATCTTTTATGTCAATTACAAAAAATTCTTTCTCAATTTTATAAAACTACAGAAATCCTAATAACAAGTAAACATATGTTTAAATCAATAATGAATATTCTCCCAATACAAACCTATTTCGTTCAACTGTAGTGAACGAGAACACCAGTGGGCACAACCAAATTCATTACAATATAAAATTACAGAACATTCTAGTAAAATCTGAGAACCATAAAATAATCACTTCATTTGCGAAATGTCAATCAATCGTCTCATACTTGATTGTTTCTTCGTTTCCACTCCAACCATCCTCTATTCCTGTCTTCTATTCTTCGATCTCAACTTTCTACCACCAGGCATTTCAATTTCGATTGATGACATATACTACTTACATCTGTCGACTACAGTAGTCCACAACACACAACTAAGATTTAGTTCAATCGACAAGTATGATGATTTCTTCAGAATAATCAACATTTTGATAATCATAGCTTACTACTTTGTAACGGGAGAGTATCCCCATTTTTATCACATTCATGATGTGCTAACCTACCTTAGTTTGTTGACAGCAGATTGTAAATCAATAGAATCACAATTATCAAAATTAACTATTCATGAATGTATCGACTTAACATCCGACTCAGTTTACAAGACCTAATGTATAAAACCAAACATTATCATAATGAAGGAAAACAAATGTTTTACATTAAAGACCGACATCGCAATCTAATTATGGCAGAATTTGTACTTGGAATGAGGATTTACAGTTCATTCTCTTCATATTTTACTATTAATTATACATGACTACTTGAACTGATATATATGGTCATAAGAGAAATTTTTGTTCATGTAGCACAAATAAAGTATTTTAATCAGTCATACCTACAAACGTTTAGTATTTTAAAACATACATTGTACAGATTCATAAAACAAATAGTTGCAATGAATTTTGGTTCATCGAAAATTTTGTTTAGTCTTATTTTGATAAGACAATGTCAGATATGTTTCGACTGATTTCTTTTCGATTCTCAGATGTCGGACCATATGTTGAACAGATTATAGCGTACACAAATCCACTTGGCATATTGTTCGGTTTGGGAGCAAATGGTGGAGGTGTAATAATGAGTAAGGATTTGGGTAAAACATGGATTTCAATCAACTCATTCATGTATCAAAGAACTTTGAATACGTCAACTGAAATCATTACAGCAAGTGTCATACCATGGATTTCATCAACTGGATCAATTGACAATACACTGTCTGAGTCATTTTGCAAGATGCGAGTGGCTAATCAATGGAATGGTAAGTAATGTATAGTAGTAACCAGATACTCAAACGTGTTTTCTGTCATCCCACATGAAAGTGTGCATCAAAACCTAAGAGTTTTCAATATTTCTTCAAGGTTCAGAGTCAATGACAATTCCAACCGAACACATATCTCTTGTGATATGCACTAGATAGCAATAACAATATGTGTGACTTGTATTTCTCATATAATCGGTTTTTCCATGACCACATAATTCGTCTTTCACACGATTGTCGTTAAATAGTAACTTTATTAATTCTTATTAATGCATAACTTAATTTTTGTAAGTTAATGCTCAAATGAAGATGTCAACACTACATTCACATTATTTTATTGAGGTGCACACAGATAAACAACCAAATTTTAATCTGAATGGGTTTGTTTCTATTGATTGATCCCACCGTTTGCATGGTTGTAAGATTTTACTCATTGTATACTGGTTTGACTGCGTTCTACTATCTAGTATTGTTTAAATAAGATAGATTATTATAGAAATTATTACAGCAAATAGTCAGATTTCTATGACATACGTGTTTGGTTATACTGTGGATATAACACGCATTCGCGAACACATCGTAGCTTAGTTATAGTTCTGTTATTAGCATTCGAAATATGTCTATCAAAAATGATACTTGTTTTGATGTTTGAGAAGTGTTTATCAGCTGATTGACCACCGTTTGATCTTGTTTTTATATACATCTCCTATAGTATGCATCAACGCAATTTATGCAAATGAACTTCTATTGGCAGACTGGACTAACACCTGTCCAAACATCAAGCCTTTTTAACCGATCAATCACTTTCAGTTGGAATACAAACTTTGTTCAAATATTTGTGCCTTTTTAATGTGTTCATTTTATGTTGTGTGCAATAATAGAACATTTAGTTAATTTTCTATTAAATTACTTATCCTACAATTAACCGTTTTAAATAAAGTACATATTAATCACATTTGCATTATATTCTGACCTAATGAAGAGTGGCTTAAGTAGGAATTTAGAAGACTGTTGCTCGTTATTTAACTATTTTCTAGTGTGAGAACAGGATTTTTGTATATTGCAGCTTCAGTAATATCTCAAAGTTTACTTTCAAGAAGTTTGTTAATTTATTTGATGATTATACTATAGCTGGTGACCATCGAACTATGACCCTTATTTTAGTGAATGATAAATTAGATTTTCAACACATACTTCAGTCATCTGATGCAACTTGAATATAGTCAGTAAAATTTGCATACTAGTGTTTAAGGAAATAAAACATAATAAAATTCAAGACCTTCTTCCAGGCTAAATCTTTCTTCACACAGACTGATAAAGTAAGAGGAAGTCAACTGAATATGTTGTATGAATTCATATTATTTCGAGGTTTCTCGTCAGCTGCTTACAAACCAAAATTGTGGTAGAATTTGTGTTACATGGAGATAGTGTGAAAACAATTGACATAAATGAGTGTAAATAACTGGATTACAATAATATATATATGCTAGAAACAGGTCAGAGGTCAAAAGAGGGGGGTTAATCCAGAGTGGGTGGTGTAATAATTTAGTGAAGTTCATAAATTGTGTGATAATTGTAGAGATTAATGGAATTAAATAATGATAAGGTAGATTACGTAATAATAATTAAATAGAATTTGGAAAGTTAAGATAATTTAAGAGGATCAGGTGGTGGAAATGTGTGAATAAAATTTATTTTAAGAATTAGGTAATAGGGGGGGAGTATAAAATATCTTAGAATAAGTAAATGAATAAAATAAGCAAAACACAAAACAAACAGAAACAAAAAGATTACCAGGGTGGTGATAAATTTATTAAAGTCTCTTTTTGGATGCATAAGTCCGGTTTCAGTTTCTTAATTGCAATGGCTTCAGCAAGGCGGAGTGGTAGTAGTTCTTTGTCTATTGATAAACGCGCGTATAATATCGACGGTATGCCCGGTGTCAAGTAGATGCCGAGCTATTGCACTGTTAAAAGCTTTGGTCCCTCGCAGCGTCAAGTTCTTTGGAATATGCTCAGAAATGCGAACCTGTACTCTTCTCTCAGTTCTTCCAATGTATGTGCTACGGCACGTACATGTGAATTGGTAAATGCAGTTGGAGCAACTGAGGGGAGAGGACTTGTCGATCTTCGTTTGTTTCAGTGAGCAGTATGTTTTCCATAACGTAGTCAGTTTGGCTGCCGGGTAGGTCACTTTTAAAGCGGAATTAATTCTGTGATTGATAATTCCGGCGACTTCATCTCCTTTGAAGCGCAAGGATAGGAAGCAGGTTTTCTTTTCAACTGTATCATGCTTAATCGGAGGGTTTGTATTAGCATATTTGTGGATGAATTTATCCGGATATGCATTTTCACGTAGGCATTTGGTGATTATAGTAATTTCTTCTTCGATGCATTCTTTTGAGCAGATTTTTCGTGCGCGGTCAAAAAGGTTTCGCACAATACCCTTTTTATAACTTATTGGACAGAGGCTGTTAAAATTGAGATAAACTCCGCTCCAAGTATTTTTGCGGTGAATGTGACTTTGTAGTGTGCCATCTGATGTTCGCCTAATTCCAATATCTAGGAAATGGAATTTATCATCGACTTCATGTTCCATGGTAAATTCTATATTTTTATGTACTTTACTGAACAGACTAAGTAGGTACATGGAGTGTTGGTGATTTTTTCAGACAAGGAACGTGTCATCCAAATATCTGCAGTAGAGTGTGGTACTATCAATTGCGTGCTTCAGTTTCTTTTGTTCCAGATGTCCCATAAATATGTCGGCAAGTTATTTACACTCATTTATGTCAATTGTTTTCACACTATCTCCATGTAACACAAATTCTATCACAATTTTGGTTTGTAAGCAGCTGACGAGAAACCTCGAAATAATATGAATTCATACTATTCTGCATCAATGTTTGTTCTTGCTCTATTTAAATTCATAAAGGGAACCAAGTGCATGAATATGTTGTCTCAGATATTTCGTTACTACATATCAATCTGTTCAGTAGCCAGGGAACTTTACTCAATTATAAATCCAGCGCTCTTCCAATTGAAAGAGGGTACAAAGTTATTACGAACATTGGTTTTATTTTTTATATCTCTGTACTATATCAGTTGATAACAATCTGTATTGCGCTGAAGTGGTAAATCTTCCTCAGTTTTGCATCCATCTGTGATACCAACAAATTATTTCACTGACGACTACCATAGGCGAATTCTTTGAAAATGTACTATTTGTACTGTTTTAGACAAACTAAATATGCGTCTTATTTCTGGATACCCTCATAACACACAAAACTATGAGGAGAACTCTGTGTTCCATGATCCAATCACTTTTAGTGCGAAAAGGCATTTCCAAATACTTCAGCAACTTCTATGTTAAACGGGTTTAGACAAGTTATTCGGAGTTATATAGTTTGTAGGTAGATATATCAATAAACCTCATTATGACATCGATAGGTTAAGAACTTTATGAAAGACCGTTTTTAAAATAGTTCTTCGTAGATAAATAGCAGTCAATCAAATAGTAACTGTAGCGTACAGAATTTTCTAACTGGAATAGCTATACTATTGTGGACCACGGAGTGGCTAAATAATAAGTAAAGGGGGGAACGCAGTAATAATAATAATAATAATAATAATAATAATAATAATAATAATAGGATAATCAAAATAATTAAGGTCAAGGTAACGATAACAATAAAACGTACTTCTTTTGTACGCATAGTTCTGGTTTAAACTCCTGGATGGTAAGAGCTTGGGCTATTTTTAAGATTTGGGTACGAAAAAGTCTGGGTAGATTTGAACGAATCATATAAACAACCTTAAAATCAGATTGTGGATCTGTAGAATGGTTACAGTCGATTAGGTGTTCAAGTATAGAACTCCTAACTGCTTTCCTTTAACCCTTATAGTACCAAGCTGGGATATGTTCCCGTATCCGAGTTGGAAGCGAGCGCTTGCTACGGTCAATGTAACTTGCTCCACAAGAGCAGGTAAACTGGTAGATGCACATAGAGGCGACCAGACGTGGAAGCTTATCTTTTATGGATACACAAAATAAGTTCCTACTAGTGAAGGTTATTCGCAGTTTAGCCGCGTTAAATGTTCTTCTAATCGCTGTTATTATACGATTTTTGATTACGTCTGATGTTAGATCACCTTTAAATTCTAGACTTATATAAAGGTTTGTCTTCGGGACGGAACAACCAGATTTCTCGTCGTAACTACTTCTATTCATAAATTTCTTCCATTGATTTCACGTTAGAAAGTGAGCAAGATCAATCACTTTCTTTTCTCGATTTACGTCCAATGACAAGGAGTAATGGTTCTTTAGAAAGATCCGTCTTCAGAAAACAAACATGGAATGGCCAGCTGACCAAATTCTATAGCTGGGTCCCGTTACGTAGAAAGAGAAACCTCATCCATTCTTTATGTTATCGAATATATCGGTATGCGGTAAGCATTACATCAACGAAAAACTCGCATTCCTCAAGAAAACCTTGATGAAAAATGGTTACCCAGAACGTTTCATAGAAAAGAATATGAATATAAGTAGTTACGACAAGAAATCTAGTTGTTCCGTCCCGAAGAAAAACCTTTATATACACAAAAAGAAATTAGTTTAAATGACTTGGATTAGTATTTATCAAAGATCACATCAATTTTAAACAAGTTGTATGATTGCTCTATGCCCTCTAACTTGGACAATCCACTAAAAATTTATTTCAACAGACTTTCGTATTTTATTTGCAACACTATTTACTAACGCTCCATAAACACTATTCAGTGTGACAAACTACATTCCACCGTAAAACTATCGATTACTAAAAGCATTATAGCCTATATTTGCAGTTCTTCCTTGGATCCAAGCTCACTCGGTTACTAGCGAGGTGTTTAACTTCCGTTGTATTAGCTGATGATATTGTACATAAACACTATCCTTGTTTAACATGGTTACTCGCGGTATCATAATATTTTCATTGCTACATTCTTCATTTGACCGATGAAAGAACCTAGAGTTATTTCATGGTGAAAAATACTGCTACTGTTATATTGTGCCCAACATGATCTCTAAAGTTTTGCAACTACCAAATGTTGTAGGTGTTACATCTGTGCACCCTATATTGAAGCATTCATAACAAATTGGTTGCTTCAATCAGTGTTTACAAGGAACTGACTCACTAAAGAATATAAATTTAATACCGTGTTTTGCTTTATAAGCAGTTAAATTGCAAGAGTAATCTTTTAAAAATATGCTTTTATCTTTATCCAAGTCACTGATATTTATATAGCATATCTATCTGATGCATCAGGCTATCTGCCAAAAATTACTTTAATGGCAGCCACTATTGATAGAAAACCGTGATAGATTATGTTGGAAGTATCAAACTAAAATGTAGTACCTAATAGGTTAGCATAGTTACACTATCAAGATACCCTTCTACTAATAATGTAACAACTTACATTCAGCTCAATAAAATCAATCTAAATGAAATGGATTACATACGTTATTCGTCTTGAGATTTCAGTTGTCCAATCCACTTCACAACTCTCTATGACCACATGCTGATAATTTAGCTGAGATTTCTCTCGGTTTTTGAATTTAGGTCTTTTGCCGTTGATATTTGAAGTTTATTTTTATAAATGTGTTGTTAGTTCGATATGGAATTATTAAAAGTGTATGGTATAGTTCCTTTATAAGCCACTTTTTTGTACTAATGTTGACTTAAAGCTATATTCAGAATAAGATTATAAGCCAGTCACTAAGTAAGTAGTAGTCTAATTTTATTCATCTTTAGG